AAACCAGCGATGATCAGCCCAGCGGGCCGAGGCGGCGTTCTCGCCTGCTGTCCCCTGGCCTGCCGGCATGGCCGCGGCGATTAAATAGACCGGACTCACCAGAAGCGCAGTTTGGGAGATTTTCGGACACCGCCCTCAGACAGTCAGACAGTCTGCTCTTCTGCGGCTCTTTTGTGTGCCTTACTTCTTTTTGCTATACAGTCTGCATATCTCCCAATAGTTTTCTTCGACCTTGTTCGATTTTAATCTTTCTTCTTTTCAACCCCACTTGGTGAACATTCACGCACAACAGCTCACAACACTGAGCTCCGCGTAGCAATTGACGCGACCACCATCCGTCTTTCGCGACGGAAAGTCTCTCGACGACGGCGTGGAGGATAGGTCACAATACGGAAACATGTCTGACCAATTGAAAGGGACCCGGTTTACGTCTCACTTACTACGTCCTTCCCCGCCCTGGCCTCAGCCTTAGGGACAGGGTATTGTCCAGTGCAAACTGCTGTAGCCTCACCGTGTGTAGCCTGGTGCAACACAGGAGAGCGGTCAATTGTAACTCGCATTAAGTCTGACATGGGTCTTGAGAGATTCCGGACAAGGACTGTGCTGAACTTACCTGTTCAAGTCTCTCCAAAGTTGGAGGGGACGCCGGCCCATAGGGACCTTTGGAAGCGTATCGCATTGTTCGCAATTTCTCTCAGACAGTCTCAGACTTGTAGTTTGCATAAAGCGTACTCTTGTAGAATACCGGAGCGTAGCGGGAGGTTACGGGGTCCGTAAAGGGGGAGTGGCTTGCCGGGGGACTCGGCGGGCTTAGCGCTAGCTACTACGCCTCCTCAATATGCCAAGGACCACTAGTCCCTTTGGGGACTAGTGCGATACGAAGCCGAATCGGGACTTCTCCGTCCGGGACGACCCCTCGGATCGTAGCTCTTCTCTCCTCGCCCTCTTAAAGTTTCGACCTCCCCAAACTCCTCGACCGTACTCCGTCACCAACACCCAGAATCACCTTCTTCCGGTTGCTCCAAGCCGCAATGTTTTCCACACAATCTACAGTGGACCCAAGTAATGTGCGAGGATTTTAAATGATCACTATTGAAGGCCCGGAGCTGGAGGAGCACATTGGTGGACACAAAGTGTACAGAATTGGCAGTCTCGGACACAAGTTTTAAGAAGAAGTGGATTTGCTGGCTGATGGGCAATCCGATCACGTTAACCTACGGCCTCTTTAATATCTTCCAACGAAATGACAAAGTTGGAAACCTTCCTCAATCCAACTGAACCCTGAAAGGATGGCTTCAAGTCTTCAGTCTTGGTTACTCGGTTCAAGTTTTATTCTGACTTGTCTGCTGAAGTTGTCAACCGCTTCGCCCCCCTTGTCAATCTACGCCGACTCGGAGTTACCAAGTGTCAGCGCTGTCGGCCGTAGACCAGAGGGCAGTTCCATTCCATTCGAAGCTCTTTCGATATTCGATCGTCAGCCCGATTCAAAAAGGCAAAAGACAACCATCGACTTCTTTGGTGATTTAGGAGACCTAGGTGATGGATTGCACACAGGGTTCGGAACGCCAGGCAATCACGTCGCTCAATTGGATGCTCCGATTGAATCTGTAGGCGCAGCTGGCTCAAACCTATCTCGTGAATGGAGAGGATCACCGGTGCCCCATTCTTCCATCGATAAGTCAGAACACAACACAGTGAGCCAAGTCGTTCGAAGCTCCGCCGGGACACCAGGTCAGCCAATTTTACAGCAGTTCTTTTGGCACATCCCGTCCAGTGTCTAACATAAAACTGAATCGGTGGGCAAGAGTTAGCAGCAGACAGAGCACAAAATTTTCCTTCTTCTCGATTGGAACCATCACTGGTTCATGATTTTCCGTATATCCTGGAGTCCGGGTACGTCGAACCTGCCTCAGGCTCACAGAAGAGTTCGAGAGACAATTTGGATAAGCCTCAGTCAATGCAAGTGAAACAAATCCCTTATGAAATAAGTAGAAGAGAGACACAAGACACCATCAGCTATGGTGATGAAACTCCGGCTGGATTCAAAAATAAGCCAGGGGACTTCGAAATCAGGATTCTCAATGCCCAATGGGCCCACATTTTGGCACTGACCAGAAAAACCATTAGAAAGCAAGATAATCCGCCAGACATGACGAAAATAATGCAACGGCTCGATAAAGAAATACGTTTGGTGCAGTCTGCGCTACGACATGGAATCGTTGAAGAGAAATTTGAGTTAAAGGGTCTACCAATCACAGTTATGATAGTTCGTCATCGTTCAACTCACCGAAACCCCCGTCGTTTGCTTATTAAATTGGATGGACTCCGCCCCGACGCCGGATCGAGCCACCGAAGATTAGAGGATACGAAGAATCGGATGGCGAACATTCTGGAAGCGTTGGAGTATTTTCACCGGCTAGCCCGTGAACAGGGGGTAGACGAAAAGATCTTTGGTCCACAAATCAAGAATATCGATACCGACTTGAATCAATGGTTTTCTGATATTCTGTTTGAAAAAACTGAAGATAGCTACCCACTTTTTGGTCGTTTCAGTGACGAGTTCATATCGAAAACTTCGCCTGAAGCCTCGTTCGGTAGTGTCCAGAAAGCGATCTCCAAAGTACTGATGTACTGGAAAAGACCGAAAGTTGAGAAGATATACGAAGTAGCCCTTTCCTTGTTAGGATATTGGTACGAAATCAATGCGTCAAAACTCGGCAGAGACTACCTCAAGAATAATCCCGAAAACTACTGGAGCCTTATGGCCCAACTAGTTGTGGAGAAAGCTCCCCGAGACGGTCGTATCTCTAGAGAGTACGATCAAGGGGAAGACTTTTTTACCACCAATCTGAAAAGGTACATGATCGGAAAGCAAACTCGCCAGAAGTGGGACTGGGATGCCTTGTTTGAGTTGGTCGACTCCCGCCAAGTCGGATCAAGTATGACCAAAGATATCAGGGACCGGATTGAAGCAAAAACCAAAAGCTCTGGAATATCGCGCAAACCAAAAGTCAAAGAATTTGAAACCCCGATAGCAGGTCTGCCAATTTACCTGATTCGAGCCTTGCAACCTAAACATGGCCCGAGAATGCAGAAGGTTAGAATTATATTAAGTCAGTCAAAGCAGTGGAGAAGGCGAAGAGCCAATCAACTTAGCCTCCTTCAACGTCGGATCTTCTTGATCTACGACTCACTCGACATTTTACACAAGATTGCTAGCGAGCAGGAAATTGACACTAAACTCTTAGGATCTAGCGTGACGGACACTCAAGAGAAGCTAATGAACTGGTTTCTTGAGGTTTTATTTATTCATACTGAGGACAGTTTGCCAATTTTCGGCACAGTTCGCATTCCATTTCCAACTGCTCAGCCGCCGGCAGAATTATTTGGCGCTGCTCAGAAATACTTATCAATAATGTTAACCAGTCCCGGAAAAATAACAAGAACTCATACAAATGACATTGCATTCTTACTCTTAGGATTCTGGTATGAAGAGGTTGCTTCAAAACATGGCAAAGAAGTACTTGGTCTTGATGCACCACATTCCTATTGGAAGTGTATGAATCAATTAAGTCAGAAAATTAAAACCGGATTACCTTAAAACAAAGTTTATTACCCTCTGATGCTTTTAATTCTGTTTTACCACTCTAGTCATTGTTTCTTAGAATATTATGGTGCTCATGCCCCCCCCCCTCATTTTCTTGTTTATCTAATCACGATGATCATTCTATCATCATTAACTTAAGTCACAGTAATTTTTCATCAAAAACCTGCTAGGTTTGGTTAAGGAAGATGCTTAGATCACTCTAGAAACAAGTGTTGTTCTGTGGGATTATTGGATGACTTCCTGTTGTCTAAATTTGTTAATTTAGAAAGAAGGGCTAAAGCTTATTTGCTGGTAAAAATTGTTTGAACTTGAGATTTCTCCAGCAAACAAATTTTAGCCAGTCCCTCCAAATCAAGCCATCTGGTTGATGGGAAGTCCTCAATTTATGAGGGGTATGGGAAGAACTTCTATTCATGATATTCAGATTCCTTTATTAATCAGGGTATACTCTGTACATTCAACAGTTGCTGTAAATTGATTTGTCTTTGTGCATGGAATCACTGGTTTGACCATGATTTGATTCTTTAATTGCGGTGTTAGAATAAATTAGATGAAATTTGATTCATCATTGGTATTGCAGGTATTGTTGGCCTCACCTGTGTCCCATACCCACCATACCTGTCGGTCCACAGAAGTCCAATGAGGCCGCCCAGAGAACGTCCTGTGGGGTAGTTCCCGCGGGTATACCCTGCCAATCCGGGTACAGGGTCCAGCGCTAACTCTGTGTATCATATTGATTTCACAAACACTGAACAAGAATTGACTTCAACCACTACTGTCAACAGTTTCAAGTTCTGATATGTGGTAAGGAGACTGAGGTTGTAACAAGTTAGCCTAAAGGGGGGGGGGCAGTACTTTCCTGGTTTTGGATTTAACCATCACTATAAGTTTTAAAAGAGGATTTCGTATGCTGTCTTGTATAAATACCATGGAAGATTAAAATGGGTCTGTCTTTTTGCACACCAAAGATTTCCCCTACTTACACCAAAAAAAGGTGTGCACTCCAAGGATTCTTGAAGTGCACAGTAGTGCACTTCATGTCCACCAAAAGGGGAAAAACTTGGTGATTTTGGAGTACATGGTTGTGCACTCCAAAAAATCTGGAGTCCTTGGAGTCCTTTTAATCAATGTGCGCAGGGGAAATCTTTGGTGTGCAAAGAGGCCGACCTGATTAAAATATGATCCTGACTGGAGTGAGGAGGCAGCTCATTTTTGATTTTAAGGTCAATATGGTGAGTTGAAGGAGTTTGGAAAGGTGAAGCATTGCATAATAGCGGGGTTCACAATAAGCTTTTTGCTTCCTGAATCCCGCTTAAATTCTTCCTGGATCCGGAAATTCTGAGCTCAAATTTAGCCTTAAATTAAGCTCAGAATTCCGACTCAGGAACCCCTAAGGCTTCCTGAGCTCAGGAAGCCTTAGAGGTTCCTGAGCTCAGGAAGGCAAATTTAGCCTTAAATCAATGGCTGGCCTATCGCTGTGCGCGGCTCCGGCAACTTGAGAAGGAAATTGATCAACAAGTCAACCTCAACTCCAACCCAACTGGTTCAAACCTCTCCAATACACTTCTCAAACTCAACCCGTCAAATATCGATTTCTGTCCGTCCAGAGGCAACCGTGTTGGTTGTTGTCTCAATTTTTTTTCTAATTTTTTAACTTACTAACCGACCGATTTGTTTTTCTTTCATATTCCCAGATCATGGATATCCCACTGCCATCGGCTCAAGATGAATCGACCGAACCAAAACGACGTCGAACAAAACCTGAGATGATTATCCATCGAGCAGAACTAGCTAAGAAGAAAGAGGCATTGGAAGCAGCCAAATTACTTAAGAAGAAGCCTCATCCAAAAGCCGTAAGGACTGCCGCTGGAACCTCTGGATCAAAGTCAACTAAGCCAACTGGGGCTGCGGATAACAATCCTCAGTTCATCGCCTCTGACTTTGAACTCATATGTACTTATCTTGAAGATCCGCATCACTACACAGAGATCTACGGAAACGGACCTCGAACAGGGGTGGGGCAGCAAGTCATGACGAAATCAGCAGCTTACGACCGATTTGCAATATTTATGAATGATAAAACTCACAAGCGACTGCATTTGGACGGCAAGCTTCTTCGACAGCGTATTGAGGCCTACAAGAAGAGGTTTGTAGCTGCCAAGAGATGGGCCGACAACACCGGTGTGGGGATTGAAGAGGGGGAGGATATTGTTTCGATTGACGTACTCCTAGAAGGGAAATGCCCTTGCTACAAACGAATGTCAGCCCTCTTCGGTGAGAAGCCTAATGTCACCCCTGCGGCCCAGTACGAGTCCCAACAAGGAATGTCGCTTTACAATCAACCGGTTGATAACGACAATCCAGAAAATCCGAGCAATCCCGAAATGTTTTACCCCGGCTGGGAACCAACACAGGAGGTACTGGACCAGACGACCCATGTGAACAAATCACCCGATCTGGCAACCTCTGGGCAAGCAAATCAGACCTCTGGAGTGGATCAGTCCAACGAAAATCCAGACTTGCCTGATAGCCTCTTGGACGCTCCACCAAGTCACCAACCTACTCCTGCTCTCGATTCATCCCCCGTTTCTGCAATGCCCTCGACGTCGGCCACCCCAGGTCGTCAGCTTGGCTTGTCTCAGCCCCGCCGTACTATGGCATCTATGCTTGCCGACCTCCGAGCAAACATTTCAAGGGAGGAAGAAGATGAAGTTGACGATGCTGAACCGTCGGGTTCAGCTGCGCCTCGTGGACGATTTGTCAATCAAGTTGATCGATCGATCCCTGCCCCGAGGAGGGAAACAAACAATCCCAAGGGCAAATCAACAGTCGCTGCTGCCTTTGGATCATCGTCTGACAAGAAGTTTGCTTACCTTGATAAGCACATGGAGATGGAGAAAGAGAAGTTTGAGTGGGAAAAATCTAAGCACAAAAGCGAACAAGATGACATAACCGCCCGAGAAAAAGCTAAGATGCGCGCGGCCGAAAAATGGATTAGCCAGGGGAAGAGTCCTTCAGACATTGAGATCCTCATGAGAACTGTATTCTAAGATTCTTCACATTTCAATTTTCAATTGTTTCACTTCTACATATCTCAATTGATCAATCAAACATCTATAATGATTGATCTCATCTCCTGTTCCTCATTAAATTCACTGTGTAAGACTCAAAGCAAAAACTTGTACTCCATTTAGGTCTATGGATAAATTAACATCATTACCGATCACAAAAGCTAGATCTACAATGATGATAAGAAAGGGATCTACAACAATGATGAGATAGGAAAACTGAGAAAAAATGTCCGGAGTCACTTGGATACAACATAGGGGGTGATTTTCAGTGTGATGGAATAGGTAATGTACCAACTAAATGATTGGAGAGCAATCACTTTTCTTGAATCTCTTCGCGGTGGCCCTCAGTATTATCTTCATGATTTCCTTCTGAATCACCTGGCTCATCATTATCATTTGGGGTCGCAAGTTCGTCCCAAGAGTCGCCGAGGTGCGCCAGCATATTGTGTAGAGCCACACAACAGTTGATCCAGCAGATTATCTCAACCATGTGCTGGGGTGTATACAAGGATAACCGAAGCTGCTGGAGGGAGGCCCACCGGCCCTTGAGAATCCCAATTGTGTGCTCGTTGCGTACTCGAGATTTAGCTAAACAATAATTGAATTCTGTGTTTCGATTTATCTTTGAGAGTGGCGATTTATATGCTGGGATCGTTGTCATCGATAGTGCGTAAGCCGAGTCTGCAATAAGATATTGACCTGGACAACCAAGCAGAAATCAATCAGACAGGAAAATGAAATGATAATTGATTCAAAAAGACAGACATTCTACATACCAGGGTCGAAAAACCTATCGGGTTCCAAATGAACCTTCATGTTCTTGAAAACTAAGCTATCACCACATGTTCCTGGCCACCCGGTCATGAACAAGGTGATGAATCTATCACAATCGCATATCACTTGACAGTTGATAGAATACTGTTTCTTGCGATCCCAATATACCTCACCATCAAGACCGGGTTGTTGGTGTAAGGGAATTGTTGTGCCGTCCACAAAGCCGATGCATCCTTTGAATCCTTCTTCTGTCATCACTTCCGATATTTCAGCTCGTCGCTCTTTATTAGGCCAAACAATGTAGTTGGTCGATACTTCATTAATTGCTTGAATAACGCGCCGGCTGACTTTAATGACCGTACCCCGCCCGACGCTGAGATTACGTGAGAAACGTCCAACCGAAGCACCGTTCCCGTTAGATCCAAGTCGTTCGAGTGTAAGGGCCAATTGATGGGGAATGGGGAGCTGAGGCCGAGGGCTATTGCTGTAAAATATAGGATGGTGACGGATTTGATCAAGCAGCCAAAGGAATCCATCTTTGGTGGTTCTGACAGCTTGTTTGAAGTCGTTATCGCGCATGTCAAAAAGCTTGGCTAGGTCGTAATCGTTGTGGGTTGTTGGTGTGGTACGCAAGCTCGAAAATCGATGTGAAAGTAACTCCTCAAGAATTTCGGCGACTTCTGCTTTGTCATCAAAAAACATCTCCCAGATAAATTGTAAGCTGGGTTTGCCGGGAAAGAGAATTGCACCAAAGCTGGGGATTGATGGGAGTTTCATGACGCCATCGAGAATTGCTTCGGTTGCCTCATTGTGATGGTACGCCATGATGAGGAAGACCTCCCTGATGAGTTGTTGGCGTTCACTGAGCCCTCGCATACTGATTTTTGAGTAGATTGTTGTGGCAGGCAGGAAATACCGTTTCCATTGGGGGGGGGTGGCCTTGAATTTTGCTGGATCCTTTAACCAGCTAGCTTAATTTAGGCTAAAAATTAAGCCTCCCTTGAGTGCTCACAAATAGCGGGGTTCTTAAAAATCTTCCTCAGAAAACCTTATCATGAACCCCGCTAATGTGTACTGTATATATGTTTGCCAATCTTCATTTTGCCCATTTTGGAGGACCAATGTCCAAGAAAGAATGCAGTAATATGGGTTAAAAGGGGTTATGGGCTAATAGGTCATGGGTGAAGAGGGAGTTGACTATACTTGTAGTCTCATCAACCTGACACAGCCCCCAGAAAGTTCAGAGTACATAGCCCCTAGGGGATCCGGGTAGCTTCGGTACTCTCCGAACCCCGATCAGCCCGCATGAGCTCACAGCTTACTTTGCCCCACCCTACATAAACCGTTGCCCCCTCGGCATCCTCTTCCTGTCTCCTCCCAACCCAAATTGTACTTGCAAGATATTCTCGTATCTTTGACTTTGTACAACATAAAACATTCAATCCAACGACCATGTCTTCTCAACAAGCACCCCTGTTTATCAAGATCAAACACGCCAACTCGACTCGGAAAGTCCGAGTACCCAATCAACCTGCGCCTGTCTGGTCAAAGCTTTCGGCGGCGATCGTCGGCAGGTTCGGAATCCCAGAGGGCCAACCAATCGGCTTGCAATACCTCGACCCGGAGGGTGACATCATCACCATGTCAGTCTGATTATCTCTTGATCTTGATTTGGAAGGTTATCTAGATACTAATCTCGAGGTCCTGACAGCTCTTCTCAAGTCGAGTTCGACGAACTTTGGCACGAAATCACTCTTGCTGCTAAACCCAACCAGAAGGGCGGTGTCGATCAAAGGACTCTCAGCTTAGAGCTCATCCTTATCGATCATCAACCAACTCAGCCCAAGCCGTCCAGCGACCTCACCAAAGTTCATCACCCGGAGGCCGGTTCGATCTCGACAGAAGGGTCCACTTTCCAACTCATTCCAACTCCTGTCGATGGCTCAAGCACTTCAACTGTTGATCCTGCCTCTGACTCCGCTCATCTTGGCCCTGCTGCAGCCAAGGGCAATAATCCGATCAAGGGTGCAAGTGACCCGACCCCTGGTACTGCAGCATCTGACCCACCCGAATATCCGATCAACACTTCGCCCTCTCCCAACAGTCGGAGCCCCCTCGTTGACTCGAACCTTGGTCTGTCTGCTTTGATCACTGCGATCGATGCAATCGCTCCCAAGCTACAGGATACCCTTGGTGGCTATGCACAGATGATCGTCCAGGTGAGCGACCAGCTCAGCGATACCTGTCGGGTCATTGCCAGTCATTTAAAAGAACCCTCGACCCAAGCGGGCCCCAACCCTCGGCCAGCCCCATTCGGAGAGCGATATCCCTCGGCTCACCCTACATCCGCCCCGCGCATGAGTCCATCTCACGTGAATTACGGGTTTACCCCAGCATCAGACTGGAACCCAAGCGGCCCTACTGCTCCCCCGGCCTCGGTATTTCCGTGCAGCTCTCCTCAAGCCCCCTTGTGGTTCACTAGACCGCCACTCGGGGAGGCCACTCATCCCAACGCATTCTATCCTTCAGTCCCTCGAGAGAAAAAATGCAATGCCCCATCGTACGCAAAACATTCCTTTGGTTTCGGAAACACACCGGACAAAGATCGGATCAACCCGACAATCTTCTCTCACGACTACCTCAATGTACCTAGGAAGAGCTTCGTTGGAGGCGTAGCTCATGTTGATCCATGGGCATATTTCCACAGCGCTAACCCAAAATTTGAAAGCAACTCTCCCAATTCGCCTGACAAGATCCACTTTGGCGCGGCAGGCTTTGGAAATGTGCGCGGGAAAGGCAAAAGCGGGCCCAGCCCAATCTTCGCAAACAACTCACCCAGCTCGCCCGTTAAGACCAAATTCAGTGGTGTAGGTAATCAGAAATCACGCGAAAAAGGGTGGAACAGCTTCACGCCGCCCGCGCCTATCAACGCTTTCAATCCAGCCGGCAGGAGCAACTTCGGATGCACTTCACAAGAGAACCTGGCCAAGCATTCACCTGCTCCTTCGTCCGACCTTCCCAAGACATTCTCACCAATCAATCGTCAAAAGAAGAAGCAGTCTTCCGACTTTTCGGACGATGAAACCAACGGCTGGCTCGAGCCCCCCAACGCCAACAAAACTGGAGGGTCCGCTACAAAGGGTGTACATGGAAAGACGATGGCTGAGCAAGCTGCTACTACCAGCCCTCGTGCAAACGATGTCGGGGGGATAGAGAAAAAGAAAGGACCAGTTAGTTGGGCAGATATGCCGGATTGGCAACCCCCGGTGATGGGTCGGGGCTTCGTCCCTAAGTTCAAATCCAGAAACCCTCCCACTCGAAAAGCCCCTAGTAGCTTCCCTGACTTAGAAGAGGCCAGCGATGACGAGTCTCTGGTTGAAGATGGCTGGGGTCCTAAGTTGGTCTGATCGCAACACTCAAGCCTTCATCTATCGGTACTTATTTGGCTTGTAAGCCTATCATTTTTGAGTGGTCTTATCATCACTATGAATCAATCCTGACAGTCAACTTGTCTTCTATTTTCGATTATGTTTCCTGAATAGTCCCGCTTGTTCATCATCTGCTATGCTTCAAAAACCCCAAAAACAAAAACAAAAAATTCCATATATGTATGTCTGCTATCTATGTTTGTATTCCACTCGACCCCGAAAAAAACAAGAAACACGAATTGTGCCTGTTTGTACTACTCTTGTATTTATGTGCCTTCATAAATGACTCTAAACACGATATGAGTCGGTCGACTGGGCCATCAGCTTTCATAGTCTACTGTGTTTTCCTGTCTCTACATGACACCACTACACTTACATATTGAAGTTATTATATGCCCGATAGCTATATTGCTTCCCTCGTCTCACTTATCTTCTTCACTGTCTTTTATGTCTCTACAGTTATGTGGTTATCAGAAATCAAATGAGTTTGATCAAACAATGTTGCTTGGAAAACGAGTCGAACAGAATAATCCGAGTCAGAAACATACACACTTGATGATGGGATTCTCAAAGGGATCCATTTGATGCGTGACTGGGGTTGTCAGAAGACACCATCAATGACACCATCTGATTTTATTATGGTGTACAGACTGTACTTCATGAAGCCTGCAACTTAAACAAGTATGCATCTTTATTTTTTGGAGGGGGGAAGCAGTCAAAGCAACCCATCCTACTCCCAAGTGGACTTGAAGGGAGGAACTTGGTTTAGTAAGAGGAACCTAACACAACTGACCGACAAATAATGCTTGACTGAGAAGAAAATTTCTCTGGATTTTTTGGTTAACATCTTTGTTTTGGATTGTTTTCTTCTGAGTTGGAATGATCATGTATGTATTGGTACAAAGAGAAGAAAATCAGCACAGTGCTAGGAGTAGAGTACACATGAGAAAAAAAAGGAGTGCCAGATGACAGAGATATAGATTAATCACATAAATTTTCTAAGATTCTTGGATCATGATCATTTCTGATCAGATCAGATCTTTGATTGACTTCCGGGTCCGCTGGTTTTTATGTATGTATATACTTTAGTTTCAGGGAGTTATGACTCTATTATTTTATTTATCTCATTCAAAAGTAAAGAAAATTAAAAAATCGAATCATGACTACCAATTCTGAAGTAAACAAGACCAAAGTAGAAGTGTGATTGAGATTGTTGCCAAACTTGGAAGTGTCTGATTATAAACCAAAAAAAAAAAAAACAAGATTTTATAAATCTTCAAATGATAAGACCCAAGTAAATAATCATACATAATGAGTCTAACTTACGATATGTCTGTGTCCACTTCCGGGTTTATCCCCTGGGGGCGGAGGACTAGGCGCTGGTTTGGGCGCAGGTGATGGCGGCGGTGAGGGGGGAGGCGATGGCTTGGGTGAAGGGGAAGGAGGGGGTGTTTTGATTGTGGGGTTGGGCTGGTCGGACGAAGGACTTGTGATCGATGGGGGCGGTGTTGAAGGTGGTGCTGAAGTATTTAGGTTTCGAGCCATCGTCAAGTATTTCAAGATTAACTTTCCTTCTTATTTCCTCTTATTTATGAACTCAGTCTTTGGGCTACTCACGGGAAGGCGTCTTTGACTTGTCTGGCGGGGGACTGGGGCTCGGACTCGGAGGTTTGTCTAATGAAGTAGAAAATGTTAAAAAACCATCAACTCGAGTACTCATTCATTGGTTGATTTGTGATGTGGAAAATAAGAAATCCCTGCCCACCTCCTCCTTTCCCAGATGTAATCTCTGGAGGCGGTGTGTCTGATCAAGTGCAAAAAGGTATCCCAGTTTGAAACACATTTTCTATATAAGCTCACGGCCTTGCATTCATTTGTGATCGGGAGAAAAACAAACTGCCCACCTCCACCTTTCCCGGATGAAATATCTGGGGGCGGTTTCTCGGGAGCTGATGATTGGAGAAAAGAGTTGATAAGCTGATGACTTAGGACAGATTGGATACAGCATTTGTACGATATTCTGAGACTGACTTTTTTTCTTCGGTGGTGCATCAGTTGCATCGGCCTTTTTGTCTTCTTGTGAACAGGTCTTACAGCAAGTGCTACAACCGTTGTTGCTCTAGTTTTCCAATGACGGAATTTTTGATGACTTAGTTAGGTGATCAAAAATGGAAGAAAGTGATTAAATGAATTTTCTGTAATACATACCACTTCTATTTTGATCACAGTTGGTCCAGAAACGTTTATTTCCGAGTCGTCTTTGCTCTTCTCTGAGGGCCTATGCTGCTTCTTTTTATCACAGTCTTTGCCTTTTCCACCCTCAACACGGATTGTCTTTGATTCGATTTTTTCACTCAAGCCTATCAACAGATGGGGATTGAAGGATTCAGTCTCAGGGCGGACAAATATCTGAATAAAATTGAGAAACAAATCTGGGATTACGAAGGGAGCTCACTTGAAGTTGAACTTTCAGAACCGAATCCAGATCCAGACTTGGGTGGGAGGGCAGACTTGGCTGAGGGGCCAGGCTTAGATGGGGAGCCAGAATCTGGACTGAAAGGCGGGGTAGACAATGGTCCTGGGAGGCCTTTGTCTTTGTCATCTGGTACGAGGCCCTTATCTTTACCACCTGGGAGGTTAGCGTCCTTATCGCCTCCGAGTCCGAGGGCAGGGGTCTTATTGGATCCAAGGCCAGTATCGTTTTTGCCTCCGAGGCCAGCGCCTGAGAGGCTGAGGTCTCCACCACCTGAGCCCGGCCCCGGGGGACCAGGGCCTTTGGGAGATGGAGGACCAGAGTCTTTCGAAATTGGGGGGCCATCAAACTTGCCTCCAAAAGTCCTCTTCGTGAGTTTTCGATTTTCTCCGATGGGCGTGTGTGCCTTGGCCGCCATGGAGCGCAACTGAAGCCTCCCAGTCGTCTTCGACTTGCCTGTTTGGAAAGTGGTGACTGAATTGGATGCGATATGAAAGAAAAAGATCACGAAAAAGAAACTTCGTCTTGAAATGATGTGTGTATTCATCCTGAAAGAAAGTTTAAGTTATGACTTGAAAACTGTCCAATCAACCAAAGATATATTGTTGTTTGAGCTGAGCTGATTTCCTTTTCACTTTCTCAAAAGAGGCATTCGAAGTAACCAGGACATACTGAGGAATAATGATCGTGATCTCCCCAAAAGACAGATTGGTTTCCTATATACACTTTTCGACTGGATTTTGTCAGTGGGAATTTACACTATTTACAATTGTGCTTGACCGCACTTTTGGCTAGGCTTGCGCCCGTTGGCTGAGAAGGACGAGGAGATCAGCTAGGGTGGCACAACTGGGGGAGGGAGGGAGCTTGACATAATTGAGACATACCCTGGATATTGTTCACGAATTGGTGTACGTTTTTCCTGAACAATTTATGGATAAAACAAGAGCAGAGTTCTAGAGCTAAAAGGTATCAGGCGAAGCTTTTTGTCACCTGCAATCGATAATCTCTTTATTCTGGGCAGGTCTTGGGAGGAAGTGTTCCTTAATAGCGAGTCAATATCGATCGAAGCAGATGCTTTCTTGCTCAATATGTCCTTCCAACCGACCCTCCATATAGTCTGTCCCCAAGAGCAACGATTAAAACAAGATGACCTTGATCTCATCGAGATAGCACAGTTGTTGGGCATCGGGTACCAAGATATCCATCATCACAGGAACTCAACATCTTCTCTTTTAGCGTATTGACCCAAAAGTCTGGCCGCTGTAGCCTGTAGCAAGGTCTCGAGTGTCCAGTAGGAGAGTCTGAAGTCAGGCAACCACCGTTGTTCACCTGGGTGTCTTAGGAGCCATTGTCCAACGATGGCATAGGCGTGCAGGCTCTTATTAACAGTTTATGAAACCTTGGAAGCAAGTTCAAATTGCCCCGCAACTGGTCTTGAAGCATACGCACGTTGCGGTGCCCCTCATCTTGCTTGGCTACAGCATGGTCTCTCCAGAGGAACCGGGTTGATTTTGCACAAATCACGAAGGAAGCTAACTGTTCATTGCTACCTAACTTCAAGCTCCAGTCGTGAGTCCCGATCGAAGGTGCACCTAGGGTCATCAAGGGTTTCAGTGAGATCGTGGATGACATCCATTCCGAAAGGATGGTGGTAATTTGGCGCTCATAGGCCAAATCTCACGTTAAAGCCCCCCAAAAACGCAAAGAAAGGGGGGGGGGGGCATTGAGTAACTGTCCCTCCGGGGCATGAAGTTCGGAAAACCAGATGTGAGCTCAACTCAGCTGTGGGACGGGTCAAGAACTTGCCACATATTACTTAGGGAATTGCGACAGTCACATCCGTGCTCCAAGTGACTTCTGGACCACTCTGAATATGGTTGGTTGTCCAGGGAAAATGTAACTTTTTTGGTCATATGAGATCCACAAAATCGCTGACTGGAATCAACACGTTTTCGGAATTTGATTTTTTTTGTAAATGTTTTCGGTATTTATTTTTCACAAAAAAAAGTTACATACAAAAAAAAAAGAAAGAAAGAGAAAAAAAAATCTATAAGATGCACATAGGGTTTTGAGGAAGTATAGCAGTTTATCCATTTCTTTTCTGAATATTTTGTGTATCATTTTCAAGTGTTGGATGTATTATTCTAATGACTTTCAGTTCAAGTAATTCCTAATTTTTATCCTCCTCTTTATTAGAATCCTCCTGAGTTTCCTTGTTATTGGGGACAGGTTGATTATCAGATTGGATATTGAATTTTTGCTGATACATTTCGACCAATTTTGAATGACTTTCGGACGAAAGTTTCTTGATATCTTCGGGGGTTTGAGCAGGCGGATGTCCGTCAGTGAACTTTTGATTCTTAAGTTTGGCTTTCGTGCCCAGAGGCGAATCGCCAGACTTGAAAGAGGCCAGAACTTCTGCGAGCGATCTCGGTCTTTGATTAACTCGGTTGGTGTTCAATCTTCGGCCAGCGTTGCCTTCATCATCGCCTCGCAAATCTCTCAGCAATGCGCCGAGTGATTCCTTCAGAGCTTTGGCAATCTCTTCTAGTTCATTCGAATCTTTGTTAGCTTGATCACTGGGTGAATTTTTCCCTTCGGTTTTTGAGTCTGATTTAGTACCTTGAGTCTTGCCGTCCGCTGTGGTAGATGAAGGACGACCACGCGCCTCATCAGCAGCCGATTTGTCCATGTACATCTTTCCCGTGTCAGCGTCAAAATAAACGGTGATAGGATCGATTTCTAGTTCTTCAAGCGTTTCGCCTTTCACTGTTGTTTTTTGACTATCCTCCTTGTTAGCGGATTGCTGAGAATCGGCGCCGTCGGTGGCTTGGTCAGTGTTTTGGCTTAGCACTGTTTGATCGGGTATACTGTCAGGCGCCTGCTCCTCGTTATCGGGGGATTCATTCAGTTTCTCTTGATGCGACGGGACGTTCGAGGCATCGCTTTCGGCAGGTGCTTCTGAGGAAGTAGTGCTCTTGACACTATCGGTAAAACTTTCATCAGCCTTTGTGTTTTCCTTCGGGGTTTCATCCAATGATTGAGATTTTTTAAGTTTTTCTTCTTCATCCTTCTTTTTTCGTGCCTCCTCATTCGCCTTCCACTTTTCGATTTCTTCGTTCGTCAGTACGGGTCGGCACCCAATATTAGCAACCATATCCCCAGCCCCGATACCTTTTCGAGCGCCGCCGTCTCGGAATAACGGTTCAGAACATAATCTAGGGGTGTGAATGACTAAAAGATATTCACAAATGCTAGTTTCTCGAAGCAAAGCAATGTGATCGGAACCGAGGGTCGAGCAGTGAAATTGAACTTCCACGGAGCGAGGCTTGCCAGTCATGTCACAAGTCGTCCCACCGTCCCAACGTTGAACTAGGTAGCGCTTCTGCTGGAATTCTTCTTCCTCCTTCTCCACAGAGCTTTTGATGACCGACTCATCTCGCAATACATCCGAAATACTGCCCAGTATAGATCCGCCTCCAGAAGCAAAGCGATTGCGGCCTAACGAGGTCAGTTCTCCCTCCCCGGCAGATATCGACTGTGCAGGTAAGGTTCCCTCTAACCTCGCTTGATGATGAGGGTTTTGTGGGTGATCGAGATGGAAGCCTAGTACGTATACATCTTGATTAGGATCTTCTTGCGGATGATTGAACCCCGGAACCATGATTGCGTGGAACTGTTTAATTTCTCCTTTACCGCTATATACATAAGAATATAGAACTAGTAAGTGACCCAGTTTTATAAGTGCAACAGTAGTAAAATTTTTCATTTAAATACTCACTAGCAAAATGAATAAGTGAACCATCCTAGCTTAGTGTATATGCAGCGATCTTTCAAAGATGAAATCAACTTGAGTCCGTTTTTGAGACCTTCTTCCTCAATTTTTTCACGTTGCTTCTTCCTCTCCAGATCCTCCGTGTCAGAGCTTGGGAGGTCAGGTAGGTTACTTTTCGGTGTGGCGGCAGTCTTTGAAGAAGCTGATGGGGGGATGGGCGGAAGTGCACAAAGGAATGCTTGACCAGAGGCTGTTCGCATCAGCGTATGTCTGAGTTCGGCCTGGTCGTTCTGCAACGAATTCAGACATAAAAAGAAAGCCAGATCAACGATGGACATAATACTTCAAAGTGTAAATATTGGATGCCTACTTGGGAGAACGAGTTATAGTTCAAGATGCTAACAGCGTCATCCTTGGATTCAGATTGAAGATTACTGAGGATAGCGGTAGCCGTATGGTTATTGATAGCATCATCCCATCCAGAAAGACTGACGGAGTACTTGGGATAGGCAAGCGGATCGGGTGGAGAATGGGAGGAGAGTGATGAGGCATGCTGGAAGAGATGGAGGAGGAGGAGGAGTGTCTGGCAGGGGGAGACGTTTCTTCTGTTCATCCCATCAAACAATTGAATTTTGCCAACAATTCCTTTTCCTGAGTTCTTCTTACAGTTTTCCTACTACTAGTGTTGACTGATGTTGAGGTTCCGGTTCGTCATGGGTGATGACCACTGCTGTCTTTCACGGATGAGCTGGAAGGTGGATCTGACCATGTCACAGTCCAGACCTGTCACAAAACCACACCACCTTCCAGTCTTGCTGTGACACATTTGCGTCCTCCTGTTACCATAACACCCATCGACATGAATTCCATTCCAATCCCAATTTCAAGGCTTCATACAGTTACTCGAACACACACAGGTTCTATCTGGCAACCAGAGGTAAATTTACTATGCTTCTCTCAGCTGCTTCGCTTCAATTCACTACAGCTATACCGCGTGTGCAATTTGGGATTTCAGATCAAGCACATTGTCCCAGGGCCGCCCCAGGTCCTAAATAGCCATCCAAAGAGCCTTGTTGTGAGGCTGTTGTTTGGAGATGCTTCTATTCAGTGCATGCTTCTCCCTAATTGTATATAGCTCAGTATGTCTCACACCATAGTTTCTTCTCCTTACTGAATCTAAACCACATTTTTCTTAGTGATTTCTCCGTTTTCACAAAATCTGTGAGCCCTCAGTCCCAAAGCCTGTGTTCCCCTCAACAGTTGTGATTGTTGATTTCTCTTTTAAATGGATGTGGAATACACCTGGAATGTTTTTTTTTGTGTGATGTGTGCCCAGGAAACCAAAGTGCACCCATGGTACTGTACAGTCATGGGTCATTGGATGGCATAAACCAACCCTGCCCCTTCCGCAAAAAAGTAGGCCTGGTACAGCTTGTAATATTCATGATATGTGAACAAATTTTGCATATTTAGATTCTACATTGGATTTAGAACACAAAATTATGTAGTATAGCTGAGTAGCTAGTCTGAAACAAATAAATTCAACTTTTAGATAACTTACTCTTTACTGGGAATACTACATAGCTCCATGTTCTAATTTGAAATATGCATGCAGTTGAATCAAATGAAGCAAAGTTTGTGCATGTAGCATTCTTAGGGGCGCGTACCATAGCCACCCACCAACCACCAATTTCAATTTTTTTTTGGCAGTAAACATTTTTGAGCAAAAACGCGTACGGCAGGGGTCGGTTTTCTCAACAACCCCCTCTAAATTGTTTTTCCACTTTTGCTGCTGTTTGAGGAAACAGCCCCAGTCCCGTTTGCAAAAACGCAGTGTGCCACTTGTCTCCAAAGCAACCAGACACTTCTGTACACTCTACAGATGATAGATCCAACTCTCTTTGAGATATCTCTGCCAGCTCAACCATCCGATGGGCCGGATGATCAACTACCCCCACTACCGCCTCCCCTGCTGCTTTTACCAGAAGACAAGGCCTCAAAAAATAGACGTCCAACCACAGATACAGCCGAGATCACCCCAAATCCTCCAAAACCATCAACAACCGCACCAAAGTCATTGGCAACCATCCCAAAGACCCCAGAAATGACCTCCAAAGCGCCAGCAATCAACTCAAAATCATTACAATATTCTGCAGCATCTGATAGAAACACACCACACACTTGGACTACGCTTGAAAAATGTAAACATCTCGAATTGCTCTATGATCAAATGTCCGCAGGACATGCAACCAATAACGGAAACTTAAAAAAAAAGAAGGTTGGACCGGTGTAATAAACTGTCTAAATGAAATATTTGACTTAAAACTCACTCGCAATCAAATCAAAACCAGAAGAATGTGACCCGATCCCTCTTTTTCAACTACAAGTTCCTCTGTGAACAATCAGGCTTTGGTTGGGACAAGAAAAAATTCACAGTTACAGCCAACACGCGGACCTGGGACAAGCTCATTCAAGCCCATCCAAGAAGAAATTTTGGCAAGTTGAAAGACAAGCCATTTCCTATCTACAAGCTCGCAGAATGTGTATTTGTTGGCAACTTTGTGTTTCTTTTCCTTTTATTTTTTTATTTTTTTTGAAATTTTATAGGTAAGGCTTGCATGTGTTTCAGCATTTTGCTGATGTTTCTTTGCCTTATATAAACTTTGATAGGTAAATTGATGTTTCTTTTCTTTTTTTAAATTTTTCTTTTGGACTTGGATAGGTAAGCCTTCTCTCTCTCTACTTGTGACTTCTTGCATGTTTTTCAGCATTTTTCTGATGTTTCTTTGCCTCTTTTATATTTTCATTTGCATATTTGTACATTGAGAGCCAAGTGATCTGCAAGCAATCAAGGGTCAACCAATCAGGAGGAGCTAAGTAAGTTGTGTCTCTCTCAAGTCATGTCTTATTTATTTTTTTAGCCATTTTCTAATGATTATTCTGAATTTTTCTTATCATTCAGTGAGAGCCAAGAAAATTGATCAAAATGTGATCAGCTCAACTTATAAATCATACAAGGAACCAGAGCATTCAGATCAGAGGGACAAGCATGGCAGGCATATGATTGCTTATCCCTGCAAGCTGTAAGTATGACATTATTTGAATGCTTTAATTCTGACTGCCATATCTTGTTAGCTGATCTGCTTCTGCTTCATCTATGCTCAGATATGGCACCTGGATCAACCACCCAACCTCCGATTCATCTTTCAGCAATCTCAACAAACACGCCTCCATCTGCCTCTGCAAACACGGTGAATCCCAAAAGACTCAATCGTTGGCTTGTCTAGGAACAACTGGAACTGGTGATATCAATCCCAAAGAGGTAAGTCCTTGTTTTGAAATTTATGTTTGTGTCTGTGATAAGCATTTAGCGTACTTACCAAACATTACATATCCTAGGTTCCACAACTATTTGCAGTATGGTGCGCTGAAGCTGCCCGTCCTTTTTTCCGCACTCATCAATCCTTCATTCAGCGGTTTTCAAGTATCTACCAACTCCAGAAAGGGTCTTGAAGGACATACACCATCTATATTCAGCAATACAAGATGAGTACCAAGCCATTTTGAATGTGAGTACTTCCTTTAAAACAGTGGGCCAGCCACGCTAACCATAGTGTTAGCGTAGCGTATTGTAGCGGGAGCACAGGGTGCAAAAATGCGCTAAAATTTAGTGTAGCGTTAGCGTGATTTTGCACATCTGTGTTAAAACTACGTGCACAGGGCGCAAAGAAGCACCCACTACGCTGAAAGTTTTTATGCTTTTTTGCCTCTAAAAATGCTGTAGCAGCACCAGATCAGGCGCGCCAACACTACACAAAAAACAGCAGCCGTTGGTGCCGCTATGCTAACGCTACATGGGCCCTTAGTGGCCCACCACTGTCCTTTATTGGCATTTGCTAATTTCACCTTTGTTTTCTTATTATTTTTTTCTTAGGCACATAATGGTGCATTATATATAGGATTCAACACATGGCAGTCCCCAAATGGATTCAACATATTGGGTATAGTTGTATATCAATTGGTGGATAACAATTCTCATTCAGGGAACATGACTTTTGAGGCCATGCCTCTAGAATTTGTTTGCCTTTCAAAAAGCCACACAGGTGAGTACTTGGCCAATAAAGTCTGACTGGTTGTCAAGAAATTTGGAATTCAAGACAAAGTGAGTCAAATATTGGATTTCTTGGGTATTAATTAATAATAAGTATTAATGATAACACTGATCACTCACTCTTTGTGCATATATGTGACATTGTGAGTGACAATGCAAAAAATAATGAAGTTATGGTACGGGAGCTCAAGAAGCTCAAGTGGCCTTGATTCCACGGTGAAGTGCAATGGATACAATTTTTTGTGCACATCATCAACTTAATCATCAAGGGCATTCTTTGGCCATTTGGGAGTCACAAGAAGGACACAACCAATCAAGGATTGATGGCCACTGATGTTCAATCAGATGGGTAAATTTCTGAACAAGAATATGCTGAGGATCAAATCAGAGTGTAAGCCTGAATGAAAGTCTGTCATATCATGATCAATCATAATGAAGATGACTTGCTGATTAGTTTTCATCCATTCATTTTAGGCTTCCTCACAGCCACAGGGAAAATTACCCCCACCCCATCAGGTGAACATTCAAGCAACATAGAATCATTATATGGACAAGATGCGGTGTGGTGGTGAGAGCGCACTGCAACCAAAGCTTTGGCCGAATTGTTTGGGCGGGTGCGGAATACACACGGCTGACACGGAAAGCATGCAGAGCTGATGATACACGCGCAGGCTGAGGAAAGCAGTGGGGCAAAAATAGAAAGTCTAGTTTTCCAAGGTGTGGGAAAGCACGCCAAAAGAGGGCCAAATGCACAAGGTTCCAAAAAGCTTACCGCAAGGAATCCGGGTACTGGCGGACTTCAGGGTTCACAGCTGACTGCGGACCGGGGTTAGCGTACACTGCGGAGGGGCTATGAGGGAGTGGGGAGCACTGAGAGGCGGAAGCGGGGTTTGGGGAGGCCAGACCAGAGGCGGAAGCGGCGGTGGGAGACCTTTCTTAATAGCAGCCGGAGAAGTACATTGACTGGCCGGTGTCAGAGGGGTGACAAACAGGGTGCAAGGGAGTGACAGAGGAGGAAATCGTGGGAAGCAAGGGAAACTTGTGGGTGGGATAGTTGGCA